TGATAGCGGGCATGTAAAATTTCTTGTTACTGTACTTCCATTAGCAGAGGTGGGTACAGGGATCAGTGTTACGGTGTAAGCTTACATGGGGGCATATTGTTTTGTACATTAAAAGCAAGACGATGTTGATGTACTAATTTGTTACGAGTTTCCCTTTATTTTACAAAAGTGCCTTGGTGCCCTTCTCAAACTTTGAGAGTTGCCTTGGTGCCTTTCTATTTTAGAGAAAATTCAAGGCGATTTCTCACATGCCCTAAAAAAATTGCCTTGCTCTTCTCGTCGCTTAATTCGAGCCCTGGAGTGTGTAGTACCGAGTTATAATTCGAACCAGTGAACATTCGGCTATGCATAGATACCAGAATGGAGGCAGTTCTTTGTGAGTTTTTGCTGTGGTGGTGTGAGAAGATGTGAGCGTTGTGCAAATTTGGCGCTCCGTCTTTTCTACCTGTTCTATTTTTGTGTTAGTTTGTGCACATTGGCGTTCGTGAAGTTGTGTGTTGGAGAGGAGCATTTGAACAGCATTTACATAGAATTATTAGTCGATAGTGAATACATAAACATTGAGACTTTGGAGGTGATGTATAAATATAATATATATATATATATATATATCAAGAGTAGATAATAGAGAAGAGTATGACACCGTTTTAACAGCGTTTTGCATAGTTTTTATCTTGTAAATATTCTACTAATATGTGAATTAATATATTCAAACTTTACCTTGTTTTCGTCTATGATTCTCTCTTAATCATATGACACCACCAATTTACCTAAAAATCGTATGTGTTCTTCAAAAAACCTCTTTGAATACGACACGGTTTCACAGTTTTCCCAACACTGTTTCATGTCTTCGGCCAATGTTTGATATGCGGGTCGTAACTACGGGACGCTGGGGGCTGTTGGGGATTATTAGGCATCGAATTGTATTCAGCGTGTAGCGTTTCCAGCGTGCTAAAAATAAATGTATTCGAACAAGTGCTAATTTATCCCCAACAGCCCCCAGCGTTCCATCATAGACAATAGAACACTAATCCCATATCAAACATTGGCCGAAGACATGAAACAGTGTTGGGAAAACTGTGAAACCGTGTCGTATTCAAAGAAGTTTTTTGAAGAACACATACGATTGTCAGGTAAATTAGTGGTGTGATATGATTAAGGGAGAATCATAGACGAAAACAAGGTAAAGTTTGAATATATTTATTCACATATTGATAGAATATTTACAAGTTGAAAACTATGCAAAACGCTGTTAAAACGGTGTCATACTCTTCTGTATTATCTACTCTTGATATATCTATATCGATACGTTCATGTTCATACTATGTGGAACGTCCCATGAGTTGTAGCCGCATACCAGCAGCGGGAGCTATTGAAGCAGCCGAATGTCAATAGGTGCTGGTATGCGGCTGCCACGCTCGGAGGGGAAATACACATACTATGAACGTAATAATCACAGACTCTGCAGATTAGATAATTGTTAACAGGCAATTTGTTAGCAGTACGTGGGAGTTCATGTATTTTGCAACAGACTAATTAGCTGCTAATTTGGACTAAAAGTCTGTGGCTCTGCATGCATTTTGCACCATTTACGTGTTTAGTCCGTGTTTTATCCATCATTTATTCCAATTCATAGTGATAGTACTGTCCAGCTCATTAATAAGGTTGCATAAATTTAAAAACCAGTTCTTGCTATTTTTAACTAGGCTTGAAGCTTGGTCGTCAGAACGCCAAATATATCAAAAGAGGAAGCTCCCGGCCGTGCTATGCTCCATGGCTATATTGACCTAAAGACCCTGCACACATCACGATTGAAGATTTGATTATTCACAAGGATGCCAAAGAAACTGCAGGGCAACATGATAAGCATCAAGGTAATTAGAGACACTATATTGTCACTACACACTAGACTGAATGCCCAGATAAAAGATATGGTGTCATTACTCATTTTATGTAAACCACTACCTGATTATTAAAAAATTCAGTATGTTCTGACTTGGATGGAGTAATCATATAACAGCTTTCATAATTTATCTTTTTTTATACCTAATTTTAGATGAAATAATGACAGTTTATACACTCAAGAGTATTGAAATAGTGTCAAATAAAAGAGGTGAACCACCACGTAAGTTTCTGAAAACATCTGTGTTGACATGATTGCTCACACAAAATGATTATTGTGAATATTTACTTTGTGTTTTACTTAAAATATTGATTTGATGTATTTATGGTTTGTTACAGAGGCTTCGAAGTCTGGAACACCTAACATTGGATGAGATAGAGAGACTGCCAGATAAACATCTTGTTGAAGTATTTGCCCATGTAAACTCTGATGAACTAAACCAGAAATATACCTTCCAGTAAGTAAACCAATTGTTAATATATTATTTACAGGTTTAATGCACTCGGAAAACTATATAGTTTTCTAAGAGTGGACAAAGCTTGTAAATATCTACAAAGGAGTTAATACAGTAGTCAGGGTCATATTGCATGCTTGTTCATATGGGAAATGTAAATGGTCAATTTCATGTCCATTACTAGGTGGACATGATTTTACAATTGAGCTAAAAAAAAGAAGTAAAGTTACTAACAAAGAATTGCCCAAATATATGCATTGTAAAAAAAACACATTGCTTTGTAACATAGATTTATATAATTACCAAATATTTATAAACTAAAGGACTATAACAGCATTCAGGTGTGCAGTACTAAAAACTGAATATCCACAATGAAAAATATTTACTTTGAAAATGTTCTATCTTCATCCAGATGAATGGTTGCAGATATGCTATCCAAGTGTGTCTGATTGTCGTTTCTTTGCACAGCTTGCACATGATATTAATCTACTTACACAGATGTGAATGCATTTATTCTTAGGTGCATGTTGATGCCTCATCACTGCCAGACAAAATACACAAGCTTTAGAAATGAGGGACGAGGGAAAATGCAGATGCAGGCTCATTTAATGCTCCATATTCAAGATCTGCAACGGCAGGCTAAAGGTAAGTTGCATATGTTTCGAGAACCATGCAACCCTGATATGCTGTAATCTGTTTCCAGATTTTATTAACACACTTGTGATTTTTTGTAAAAACTTAGAAATTTACTTTTTTGCTAGGCAGCAAATACTTACTGTCAGACAAAAAACAAGCAGCTAGCAACCTTAGTCATCCTGACAGAAATATTAGAAACCCATAGCCATTCTACTCCTTCCCACCCAACAGTACTCTACTTTGGTTTATTAGAAATTTCTTGGCAGCAAGTATTTGCTGCTGACATTTAGAGCAGGCAGCAAAGCTGCTGCTTGCTGCCCTCAATTTGGAATCCTGGAAACGTCCCCACACTTCTTAGCAGCAGTTTATGCCCAAGTGATTTTAGTAAAGTGCTTTCTTTACGCTGTGTGTAGAAATTGTGTTGTCACAACTTCGCAGTTATTTAAAGGTGCCCTGCATGCCTCGAACTTTCAAGCGGCAAACATAAAATTAGACAAAAATGAATTATTTTAACATTGCACGTTTGTACTTGCCTATATATGTGTGATGGGTAAAAAAAATTGCTCAGGAATACGTTCATTCAAAGGTCTTAGACTACAAAGTGAAAGTCTCGGGTCAGAATGTTTCAAACAGCATTTACTTTTGCCGCACTGCGGCGATGTTGTGACGCGTCTCTTGTTGCTATATGCAGTGTTGACTGTTGCCAGGCGCTGAAGGTCATATGAAGGCAGCATGTGCTCATAGATATCATATCACACGTGTTATATGATATCTATATGGCTGTGCTGGTTACGTGACCTGCGTCGACTCTTGCCGCCATGATACAGAATCGTGGTGAAACACATTTTTCAAGTTGTTTTTTTGTTGAGTGAATATAGGCTTGATACAGATTTTTACAGTTTTATTTTCAAAGCTAATGTTCCGTTAAAGTGCAGTGAGTAATTTACTTATATGTTTACAGTGGTTTGTCACAAAAATGTGCATGGGAATGGATCTTTAAGCAGAATACGTATAATTTGTTGACTGTTATGCATATATATATATATTATTATTATATATATATATATATATGATATACTCATCTCACTTTTCATTTCAGCTGAAGGAAAGCATTTCACCTTTACAGCAGAATCAGTAATTGCAAAGAAGAAAAAGGAAGAAGGTACTTTATCAATAATTTTGTTAGTATAGTAATAGCTTTTTTACACAAAAACAAGCCTTACCAATTTACACCAAATTAATTATTTCGAATATGACAAAAGATAATGTCATATGGTGGTATTTACATAGAGCAGTGTAAACTTTTAGATAGGCAAGAATGTGAATTAATTGGACATACACAATATTACTGCTGTCTACTAGTAGTACAAGTAGAGGATATATATATGTAGTAACTAATATATTATACAAATATATTATGGACTATGTATTTCAAAGACAATTTTATGCTAGTTTATTTAATTCATATACTGAAGGTAGTTGTGATCTGGCCAAGTATTCAAATATACTTAGTGCAGTTAAGATTTTAACTAGAATTTTACTTGAATAAGGGTGAAAAATACTGGACATTGCCAAACAACAAAACTGATACTATCTGTATGATCATGTTTTTAAGCCAAGGCAGCAGCAAGGAAGAGGCTGAGGAAAGATTTGGTACCAAAGTCCGTGGCTGCTAGGAGTTACCCATCACCGAAACCCAAAATAGATCATTACAGTGAAAGTGACTCTTCAGAACCTGCAGAGGAGAATCAGCTTACAACTGTAAAAATATTGTCTTATCTATACATAATAAGTAGCAAGCATAAACGCAAGGAAAGGGCAAGTGTGTGCCTTATTGAGCCATATGCAAATGTATGTAAATGACAGACGATAAAAACTTATATCATGTTAAAAATAAATGCCGGTGGATTTTACGTTGGGGAAGTGATTATTCATTATTCGTGGCTTTGAACATTTTTTAGGTCACTTCACAAAAGCAAGCACTACTGAAGAACAGAAGGGCATTCATTCATAAGAAAAAATCATCGGCACTTTATGCAACGTCACCTACGACAGCTGCTCGGGGGTCAATACCAGAGGATAACGACGAAAGTGTAGTGATGACCAGTTGTAAGAATGGCAGATTTGTATCGAGACTGATGAGAAGCGGAAGCAGTGGGCGCTCGAACGTAGTAAAGTGCCCTGAGTCAGTTTCGAAGAACCTGCGTGCCTGCTCGGTGTATCTTGGTAAGGCCATCAAGACAGAGTCAACCATGGAAGAGTCGGAGGATGACAGGTGGCATGAAAGTGCAAAATCCAGGGTGCCGAAGATAGAGCAACTCTCTTCGGAAGAGGAATGTGATTCTACAGAGGAGGCTGAGAAAAACCACGCCCTGCGAGCAGAGGAGAAGCGTCTGCGGCGTGAACAGATGAGAAAAGAACTCAACCCAGATAGCGATGTGGGAGAAGAAAGCGGGGATATTTCAAACTCTTCACACCCCTTGCACGACCACTGCTACACCACCACCGGCGGTCCCAAGTATGACATATCGAGCGATTCGGAGGTGGATATCGAGACATGTGAAGATGAGCGTAATGATAGGGAGTGCCCACTACCTAATCCAGTACACGGAATCCGGCTTGATGGCTTGCATTATGCACCAGGTTCCCTCAGAAGACGAGCATTCCCTAACACGAAAAAACATGCCGGTTGTAAGTGGCTGTACTGTTCACCTTTGTTAGCCCTTCTCACACTGACTGTAGTAGAAATTTACCCTTAATTACTTATTATGTCTAATGTATTTTCAAAGCCATCGTTCTGTTTATTTCCCAGCATATGCATTCTTTGGTCCAAATGTCATCTTCCCTCAAGTTTTCATCAATTCCAATACATTGTTATAGCTGTTATCCTATATGTGATCTCAAGCTCTGCCTCTCTTTTACCAGTGTAGACCACTTTTCATCCTGGTGACCAGATTTCCACCTCACTCTGCCAGTCTTACCTAACCAGGTGAAGCCTCAATGATCCTATGCTGTCTGTTGGGTATATATATATATATATATATATCTTGAAAGTTCATAGTCGGATTTCTTTTAAAACATTAATATCATCATTCAGATGGCTGTCAGAATGACAGCTGAAACTGTCAAGGTAAATAATTTAAGGAGTTAACCATGAACAATGATGTTATTAATATTATATATATATATATATATATCAAGAGTACATAATAGAGTCTAATAATATAAGTCTATAAGATAGTAATAATCTTTATTATGTACTCTTGATATATATATATATATGTATGTAATAAATAATTAGCTGGTAAGCTTAGATCAGGTCAAAAGTGACTACAAGTCTATACATACACAGGCACGCACACACATTGTATGGTGTGCACTCTAGCTGTTTTTTATGTGGCAGTAGATATCTTTACAATATTTGAAGCTAGATAAAAAAATAAACATGCCATTCCACATTTTGTGTCTTTACACCTTGATGCCACATTATTTCTTTAAATGGTTAACATGTTGCAGAATATTCTATCGTATTTGTAACCAGTGTGGCTGTCTGTTCACATTGAAATTTGTGAAAATACTGGATATTCCATTTTGCTTGAAAGATGAGGGAATTTTGTCAGAAGGCTCAAAGTCTAAGACCTACTCCATAGTCCAAGACTACTTGATAGTTTTAACATGTTTATTGTGCTTACCAGTGTCAACCATTTGTTATGCAGTGCTTACGTCGGTGCCACCTCGCCGGCCACAAGCTACGTTTGAACAACTTGGAATCGATCCAAAGGAAATGGACAATCTGAGCACTGATGATACTGATGATGATGCTGAGGCTGAAGGCAAAGAATCACATAAAAAAAGAAAACCAGGACGTCCCCTGAAGGGAACCTCTGAATGGGAAAGGGTAAACATGCATGTCATTTACAGGGGTTGAAATTCACCGAATTAACCCACTTGCCAGAAAGGGTAGTGAAACGAAAATTGTACTAATCCTTATGAGAATCTATCACCCCTGATTTTCAGTAATCTTTAACTCAACCCAGCCAAATTTTGTAAGCCATGGTAGTTGAAACTGTCTCTCACTTTTATTAGTGTTATATACTCATTCTATTGTTCCCTGGTCTCTTCTCCTGTTTTCTCTATTTTGTTTTCACACATTCTAACAATATCCAAATGTTTCAATTGAAAGCAGTACTTAGCATGTATAGGTTGTGTAGTGAAGCATATGTTACTGACAGATCGCATCATTCTAAATGTGTTTATCCAAGAAGACTTAATTGCTCTCATTTTCCCATTCTGGTGGTGGCCCTGTGGTGGCAGCTGTCCCAGTTACTCAGTATATACTCTCCGTGTAACAAAAATATTAGACTCCTCCCCCTTCGTACATGAATAAATGCCACCTCTGTCATAATACACATACATGTACTGTGTACCAGGCAGCCAAGGTATCTGCTTGCAAAATAAATACTGAAAGGTGTTCTGCAGATTAGTAGCTGGTGAGCATTACTTTCGACCTCTGTAATACAAGACATGTTTCTGGTGTACTATGTTATCAGTATGAATAACAATCTTGGAATGCGTTGCATTTATTGATGAATAAGTCCTAAAATAATTTATCAATCTAGGGTTGAGAATAAAAGTAAGCATTTAAAAATAAATATCGATCAAGTCCTATTCGCCTTGCCTTTATTAACTAAGTATAATGAGTGAAATAATTGATAACCGAGTTGCTTTGAGAAACCTGCATGTAATTATATGGTATTATGCTATTATTGCACACACAAACCATCCTTAATGCATTTGTGCCATTTTGTCTGTTTTCTATTTACAGAGAGTGTCGCTGAAAGCAATAAGAAAGATAAGGCTTTATAAAAATAGGGGTGAAAAGTATCCTCTAACCTGCAAGATCTGCAAGACAAGAAATTTCACTGCTTTGGCCACACTAACGTACCACTATCGCAGCCATGCTGGTGAGTACCCTGTTTGTTGGGGGAGATATTTTTATATATATGCTAGGAGTCACTTTGAGGGTAAAAAATCGAGTTTTTAGTAAAAATGCTAGCGAATATGAATTGTTTAATTTGCTATACTTGTAGTATTTTAGCACAATTTTACTGTTGGCAGTATAATATAATAAAGCATAGTATTCATTTTATAAGTTGGGTTATATTTCATTCTTAGGTTTTTTTAGCTCATCTGCATGATGTAGTCAGATATGCAGCTTGTTGAATCGCATGATTGTCCGTGTGTCCGTCCGTCAACAGTTGGGCACAAATCTTAACCGCTCGACGTACGGTCACGATATTCAGGATGTGGGGGGGGGGATCGTGAAAAGGACTCGGGATGACCAATTTGGGGGGTCAAGGGTCAAAGGTCAAGATGTGTAAACGGAGGGGGAATATTTTCCCCTTAACTTAAGGTATAGGAGGAAATACGAAATTGCGGCACAAATCTTAATGGCTCAACGTATGCTCTTAATATTCGGTGTATAGTGTGATGGGCAGGAAACCCATCACCAGTGCAAAATTGGAGGTCACAGGTCAAAGGGCAGTGGGGGAAAGGTCAGATATCAGACATTTTCTGAGGCCATGGCCTAATGGACAGAGTGGAAAACTTTTTTGTTTCAGCGCTGACCTACCATTTTTATGGCTTTATTGAAAGGACCATGAAATGTACTTTCCGCTGACATGCGAAGAGTAAGTGTCTGATAACCTTTTGACCTGAAGGGGAGGGTTCAACATGGATTTGTTGACTGTTAACAAAGGACTGAACTGCTTTTGCTATTATTAGAGCCCATACCTGTGTGGATGTGAGGCTACATTATTTTGCAGTTCAATTGCAAAGACAAAAGTTTGTTGAACAAGGTTTTTACACTCCTTAAATCATATTATTTTCTAAAGCAGTCTGTATATTAATTAATAGCACCCTGAATGCTCGCGTGGCTACCGTCATCCGAAATGTAGGCAAAAACCCGGGGGCAACCCATTACTCATGCATGGGGGTGAACTGGCACTTTTCTAATAAACATGCACGCCTGCAATGCAGATGTGTTTAATTTATTACTCACAGCTGAGCGAAATTGTCGCCTGCCTGAATATACTTGGATTTTAGCCTGTAAATTTCAGAAACTCAATGGAATTAGGTTATCTCTACTTTCTTGACTTATCACCAATGCACGAACGGCGATGCCATCTTTGATTATTGATTACACTTGCACGCGCCATCACGCGGCAACTATATAGGCCTAGTGATACGTATACATTATGACACGAATATATAAGAAAGTCGAGCAGGTATGAAGTAGGATGCATTGTTAGGGTTTAGTTTTAGTGTTAATACCTATGCTACACAGTTTTGATGATGACGTAGCCGGTTTAGCGATAGAACAGGCTTTCAACCTTTTGCAGAAACGAAGGCCAGTACAGTAGAGCAGCAGACCTCAGATGAGCACTGTCGCTAATGCGGCACTTGTTTAAATTCTTGAAACCAAGCTAAATGAGATCATTTCCCCCAAACGCCACCCCATTAGCCAACTGTACCCCACCACCCCATCAGCTAACAACACCCCACTACCCTATCAGCTAACAACACCCCACTACCCTATCAGCTAACAACACCCCACTACCCTATCAGCTAACAACACCCCACTACCCTATCAGTCAACAACACCCCACCACCCCATGAGCCAACAACACCCCACTAACGCATCAGCCAACAACACCTTATACGGTACTACCCTATCAGCCAACAACACCCCACCACCCTATCAGCCAACATCACCCCACTATACCTATTACCCACCACCCACCACGACCTCCCCAACCTTACCACCCTCATCACCTACTACCCACCAGGACTACCACCACCCCACAGCCCATCATGTTTTTACATCAGCCTTATCAGAGCTTGGATTGACAATGAGCCATTAGGGGGAGAACAATTCTTTTGCAATTTCTGATTATTTTGCTTGGTTTTCTGTTCTTCTGTTGGATTTTTCTACGTTCATGGGTGTGTGTGCTGGTATGTAAATATGTATTTTACCCTGCCATTGTCATGATTATTTGCTTCACCAGATTCCAATTTATTTTGCAGGAATCAAGCCTTTTGTCTGCACCGTCTGTGGGACAACGTTCACTCGACAGCATAGTCTCAACTACCATATGCTCATTCACAACAATGAGAGTCGGTTTGCATGTCCTGAGTGTGACCGAACGTTTCGCCACCCAAGTCACTTCAAGGAACACCTACGCAAACACACAGGTTGATAGGAGATCCATTTTAGTGAAACTGAATTATTGCCATTATGCTTTTTTAATGCAAATTCCTCAGATCTTGTCCTTAACTGCACATAATATCTAAGGCTGCTGGAATAATCAGCAGTTTCGCTGAGACATTTGTTTTTGTTAAACAGTGAGAAAGTAATTTATTATTGCGAATTTTTATGTGATATTTTTATGCTCTTGCCCTGCAGGCGAGACGCCGTTCCAGTGCGTACTGTGTCACCTGTGCTTCAAGACTCGCAACTCCTACAAGCGGCACCTACGCACGCGTCACGAAAAAAATCTCACTAGTACTGGTGTGGAGGACATTGACGTCGGGGAATTGGAGCGCTACAAAGCCTACTCACATGTTGCAAAGACTGGTGGCAAGATTACTGTAGTGCCAGTACCATCAAAGATGGTATACTGTATGGATGACAGTTCGAAGGAATCCGAGAAAGACCTCAGGTTTGGTGTTCCAGTTGACACTGACACTGCCTAAACTCCCTTGTGGTCAGAATGTCCTGGTCAGTATGGTGGTCATGGTTGGCATTGCAATGCTCTACAATTGAAGCATTTCTTTGGAAGAGGAAAGTACAGCTACTCTGCCTTGGTGAACAAAATCGTGTGGTATGAGTTGAATTTTGATAGTTGGATCTATGAAATATCAAGAGCTAATAAATAGTATTTATTAGCTTTTGGTAATATGGATGATCATGTAGGAATTATACCCGTAGCCAAGCCTGCCGACCTTTGACTGGCTCAACTACTCAGGCTAAGAAACAAGGCGTTTTTATTAAAAACGTACCCTGTATACATTTTTAGATTGTAATTGATGATGCATTAAAAAACAATTTAATTTACCCAAACTAACATGTGTGGGCATAGGATGTCAACGAACCTTTCTGACCATTTCATAAAGTTTAGTCGGGCATTATAAAAAATGAAACTTACAGATACTTATGAGCATTGCCGGCCTTAGCAATTGTGGGGCCCAATTTGACCAACTTGTGGACCATTTTGGTTGGGCCTGCTGGACTGTAGATTACTTTAAATGGTGTATCAGGAATATATGCTATTACTTTTTTAACTATATTATTATATTTTGACATAAAACTTTGTGGAAACAAATGTGCTTATCAAGAAAGCTTTCATTCTCTTCTGGAAACTTAAAATGTCATCAAAGTTCGAGCTTTTTTTTCCATCACATTCTATGGATAAGATTTCGAGGCGGCCGAGTCTACCTTGAAGCATGTATGACCTTAAAGAAGATTTGATGAATTTTAATTTGAACATTTTCTGTCCTCTGACACTACAGAGTGGTTTTGACAAAAATGTGCACAGAGCAAAGAAATTTAGAATTCTGTTAGCTCTCACATTCAAAGCAAGGAATTTCAAGATTTTCAAACATTGTCTGAAGTATGGCGAAAGAAGATTTGGCTTCAGAGCTTCCAGCTAGCTCCTCCACCAGCTTACGGCCATATAAAGCTGCTAACTTTCGAGACTTGACTTGTGTTCATTTTCCTGGGTGAGCTTGACATTTGTTAGCAAAGTTTCCAAATCTTTAGCAATTCCTCCTTTCATACAGTCGCATTGGAGTGACTTCTCCATGTTGCAGGCATGTACAAAATATATGGAGATTCTGCGTTTCCTAGTCATCTGAATTCCCCTCTCATCCTCGCAGGTGTGTCCCAAGCAGAGCAATACGTTTGGCATGATCATGGCTGCAGGAGCTAGCTGCCAGTAGAATGTCGACACCGACATTCAGCTGCCTTTGAGGCTCTGCTCTGAATTTTCTCTCTGGTTTTACTTTCTCGGGACGATATTCCACAAGGCACTGGAATAGTTGAGAACTAGAGTTTGATAGCTTTGGATAATTCACTGCCCTGTGCAAGTTTTGAACTTGCAGCTTTGACTGTAAAGTGAGAACTACACATTGTACGGTACATTGTTGGTAGTCTAGCTAGCAAGAAGTGAAGTACTGCATGCAGGGTGGCACCTAAGCAATGTGATATTACGCATCGCACAGGGTTGGTTAAACCTAATTAGTCAGCGCTCAGTCCAAGCAGATTACAGTCATGGTTGCTAAAACTAGTCATGTGCATGACTACTCCTTGCCTGCATTTCTAGCCCTGGACTTATCATTGATCTGCTTTTTGCACCTCAAAAGAATAGTTGGTTTGAAGCCAAGGTGTCTATGGACATTCAGCTAATGGGTGCAGGGGCTCCTTGGGCCAAATAAGATCAATTGGCATGCATATGGCTGGCACTGCTTATAAGTTTGATACATATGATTAAGTAATATCCATGTCTATAATAGATGGCTCTGTACTATTCAATCAAGGGTCCATAATAGAAAAAATAGATTTTCTATTATGGACTCTTGATTCGATGAAAGTCATTCTATGATCTGTGAAAATTTCACTTAAAATCAGCTTCACTATTATTTGGTTTGTTAAGGCTATTATCAAGAGCTAATAATACATTGTATACAATGTAATACAATGTATTATTAGCTCTTGCTATTGCGCATAATGAGTCATTCGATGCAGCTAAACAACTCAATGATAGTGTGTTGAAATAGTACTTCAGTGTAAGATATAAATAAGCACACCGGGGTGTTTACCAACCATTTGGCTATTTTTCATTATTTTCCAATGTTGGCGCCATTTTCCTCCCAAAGATGATGGTACATCTTCTGTTATTACCTTCGCCCAACTGAGTTGGAGGAGGTTATATGATCGCTCTTGTGTGTTTGTGTGTTAGTGTGTTAGTGTGTTTGCGCGATTGATATTAGCGTGTCAGCCAGCCAGCGCAGCGAGCCAGCGAGCGTGTACATGTGAGCGAGCAGCAGCAACGAGCGGCTGCTACGAGCGAGCGAGCTGGCGGAGGTATGCACTCTCCGTGAGTGCCCTCTGTCTAGTTAATATAGTGCTACTCATACCGAAAAGGTTTTTTCGTGCGGTGATTTATGCGTTATTATCTATATTATTAGCAAACTTCCATATAGATGCTTATATATCAAATTATAAAATAAATTGTATGATCAACGAGTGACATTGCTGTAAAGGTCAAGTACGTATGTTGTACAGATCTATTTCTTGTGCCGTTTCAGCGATGTGCCCGTTTATCTATGGCAATTAAGATCAAGCGGAAACCACTACAGAATAGTTTGTCATTAGAGATTTATGTTTTTAGTTGGTTGGTATATGTGTCTGGTAGGATGATAGTTTTCAAGGAACAATCAAATCATGATTATTTTTAATGATACAAATTAGAATACTAGTATACGGTGTGACAACGGATTTTTCAAATAGCGTGCAGTAGTAAACATTGTTTCTTTTAAGATCTAGACCTAACGTAAAGATGGTTATTGGCAATTTATTATACATTCCTTCGTTCAGAATTACATGATATATAACTGAATTTAATTATGCTTTATATTCTTGATAATTTAATGGATTTAGATGTGTGCAAAACCTGGCTATATATCTATGAGAAAATGGAGCAATATATTCACCAAGAATGTATATTTTTAAACGTTGACCTGTTAGATGCTAGTTTGCTTAGACATCAATTAGAATGTACGACAGTAGCCTCGAATCTGTTTCTATTTTTTGACTCCAAACCATTATTGGTACTATGCACCAAGTCTCATCAGCATGCTGCTGTAAATTTTGCCTCGATCACACTAGAAGCTAACACTTCAGCTAAAGACTGCAAGGGCGTTATATATAGTTACGTTATCAGGATCGATCGAGTGTATAATAATAGAAACTAATAATACACTCCTGATGTAATGTATGTGGGTGAGGCTTGCAACGTGCGTGCTAAAGGTGTTCTTTCTGCTTGGTTGTCATTGCAAGGACTGTAGGTATCTTACTATAATTAAACGAACCTGTAGAGGAAAGGCCAAGATAACATTTTGTTCGAATTTATTTAGTGATATGTGACAATTTGTGGTAAATCTTGTAAGAGAATCCAAACTATTTTTAATGGCTTTGGCGTTTTTGTCATTATTGGTTAAAATTATTTAATTATTGGATAGTTCTCTAGATTAAAATTTTGAATAGTTATTAGCTGGGAGTTGCTAGGCATTTGGGCTTGTATAATCGTTCAATGCTTCTCATGTATTCGTTTAAGTGTAATGACTGTTTATTGTGCAGTATTATATACCCGCATGATGTGTCATTCTGGTGTTTATTACATTAAATACTTAATAAAGCAGCACTATATAATTCTATGTGCAGAATCATTGGACTCACTTGCTCATTGTTCATAGTGTTTCTTTGTGAGATTTGAAGATGGTTAATCAATTGGTTATCAATAATATTAGTTAATTTGTTTAATAATAATACTTTACATCGTCGTTGTTGTGATACATCACGTGACGTTTAATCTCTCTCGCTCGCACTCTCTCTCTCTCTCTCTCTCTCTCTCTCTCTCTCTCTCTCTCTATCTCTCTCTCTTTCTCTCCCTCTCTTTCTCTTTATTTTTTTTCTCTCTCTATCTCTCTCTCTCACTCACTCACTCGGCACGAAATAAATTGTGTCCTCTAGGCTTTGGCTCAGAGTGCAGGCCTGTATTTTTGAGTAGCAAATATTTTAGCTGTTTACATAATGCCGGTCAATGTAGACATTGAGCAGCCTTCACATAGCTTGATCGGGTGGGTCACGGAGCTATGTCACACATACGCGACGCACGACCCGCGCATTGAAAAAATGGAAAATAAGATCAGTGCGTCGTTGTGCGCCCAACTTTTGTCAGGATTTGGGAGAAGCTAGCGATTTGACAACAAATGCACAGCGTGTTGCTAGCGCGCTGCGCGTATACAGGGCGCACATGTTAAAAAATCCAACGAATGCACAGCGTGTTGCTAGCGCGCTGCGCGTATACAGGGCGCACATGTTAAAAAATCCAACGAATGCACAGCGTGTTGCTAGCGCACGGAACGAATGGTCCGCGCATGCACCGCGCATTCAACTCACAGCGGTCATGCATGCTGTGACAATGAGCTTGACGGTCTCGGGCTGCTGCTGCATCGTGCTCAGGAGAACTTGGAAACGGTTGGCAAGGATGCCGAAGGCATTTTTTACGACCCTCCTGGCTCGGGAAAGCCGGTAGTTCAAGATGCGCTCCGGCCGCGTCATACCTCGGAGGCTGTACGGCTTCATCATGTTGGGTCGTAGGGCGAAGGCATCGTCGCCGACGAAGAAGTAGGGCACATCCTGGTTGTCGTTGGGAAGAGGATCGGGATCAGGGAAGCCTAGACTACCATCTTTAACGCATTCATTCAGCTCAGAAGCATTGTAGATCTGAGCGTCTGATGCTGATCCCATACCGCCGATGTCTGCCCAGATGAACTTGTAATCAGCATCCACGAGCGCCATGAGGACAACGGAGTAGAACCCTTTGTAGTTGTAGTATAGGGAACCACTGTTTGGAGGACACTTGCAGTTGACGTGCTTGCCATCAAGTGCACCACAAGTAAGGGGGAAGTTCCACCTCTCCATGAACTTGTCAGATATGGCACGCCATTCCTCAGGAGTGAACGCATTGGCCAAAATTATGCGCCAGTCACACATACACGGCGCACGGGCCGCGCACTGAAAAATTAGCAATTTTGGCCAGTGCGTTGTCTTTCGCTGGGTGTGCGTCAGCATTCGTTACTCGTTCGTCGAGCACGCTGGACCAACGCTATTTATGCGTTGTCATTCGCTGTGTGCGTCGGGATTTTTGAGCATGCACAAAAATGTGCGCGGAGCTCGACGCATGAATGTACACGCCAGAAGGACGCCAGACACGCGCAGAGCGCGCTGGACCAACGCCAGACACACGCGGAGCACACGCTGGGTATTTGTTGTATGTTCGTCGGCTGAGGTGTAGAGAACACCTAGCGAACACCTAGCGCACACCTAGCGTGCTTCTAACGCATGTCCAGCGAACATGAAGCGAATATGGGCGTGCTGAACGAGTGCTGAACGAGTCTGTAGCGCGCCCAGCGTTCTTCTAGCGTGTTCCTAGCGTGTACGCAGCGTGTAGCCATGGGGTATATAAACGGGTCCCTCATCATCACTTCTCCTCCGACCCTCATGGGTGATGACAGAGGTTCCTGCTGATCGTGTCTAGTAGAACCACCTCAGAAGATGGAGGATCCCGATAGGCTGCGACTGCAATACGAAATCGCGGTTTTCCAACATCAGCAGAACCTCATAGAACTGGCACTTCCCCATCAGTCCATGTCATTAGGAGAAGGAGAAAGAGAAGAGGTCAACGGAAGTTTTGGGTCCGACCGTGGATCGGTAGGCGACGACAGTTTGGCCTGTATGACCAGCTACTTGTTGAACTCCGTAACGAAGACCAGGCAGCCTTTAAGAACCTCATGCGGATGCCCCCCGAGATGTTCGACGAGCTGCTAACCAGAGTGGGTCCGAGGATCACCAAGCAGAATACAACCTACAGAGAGGCCCTCGACCCTGGCCTGAAGCTTGCCCTCACTCTGTGGCATCTTGCCTCTGGGACTAAGTATCACTCAATGTCCCATGGGTGGAGGGTGCCTCACAACACCATATCCCTGCTCATCCCAGAAGTGTGCCAGGCAATCATCGATGAGTACAAGGATGAGGTGATGAAGTGTCCCACCACTCCTGAGGAATGGCGTGCCATATCTGACAAGTTCATGGAGAGGTGGAACTTTCCCCATACCTGTGGTGCACTTGATGGCAAGCACGTCAACTGCAAGTGTCCTCCGAACAGTGGTTCCCTATACTACAACTACAAAGGGTTCTACTCCGTTGTCACTCATGCGTCTCGTGGATGCCTCGTTACAAAGTTTCATGTCTGGGAAGACATCGGCGGTATGCGGCATCAGCATCAGACGCCTCAGATCTTACAATGCCTGCTGAGCCTGAATGAGATGCGGTTAAAGATTGGTAGATCTAGGCTTCCCTGATCCGATCCTCTTCCAACGACAACCAGGATGTGCCCTACTTCTTGGTCGGGGACGATTCCTTTCGCCCTACGACCCCAACAGGATGAAGCCTACAGCCTCCGGGGTATGACGCCAGCCGGCGGCACATCTTGAACTACCGGCCTTTCCCGAGCGAGGATCGTAGAAAACTGCTTTCGGCATCCTGGCGCCAACCGTTCCAAGTTCTCCTGAGCCGATACAGCAGCATTCCGAGACGTCAAGCTCATTGTCACGAGCATGGCATGACCGGCTGCCGTTCGCTGACTGTGCGTTGAATGCGCGGTGCATCCGTGGACCACACACACACACACACACACACACACACACACACACACACACACACACACACACACACACACACACACACACACACACACACGAGCGCGCGCGCGCGCACACACACACGCCCTGTATACGCCCTGTATACGCAGCGCGCTAGCAACACGCTGTGCATTCGTTGTCAACTCGCTAGCTTCTCCCAAATCCTGACAAAAGTTGGGCGCACAACGACGCACTGACCTTGTTTTTTTAAGCACTGTTTTTTTAGCACCGTTTTTTTAAGCACCATTTTTTAGCACCGTTATTTTCCATTTTTTCAATGCGCGGGCCGTGCGTCGCGTATGTGTGACTGGGCCAAGAGCAAATGGGTGCTCGTGAAGAGCACCTACATTATTACAACAAGAACCAGCGAAATTAGAAGCGGCACACGCGGGTGGAAACAAAGGGACCGATATTATAATAATACATTGCAACGTACGTGATTCCATTATTTGGCGTAGACCTGCATGGCTATTGCAGCATAGGCCTACACGTTGCGAATTGTTTAC